AGCACGGGGCTAAACGCTGGGAAAAGCAAGCCCCCGCCCCAGCCAACACGACTGCTCCCTTCCGCACGGCCAGGACTCCCGGCACAATCCATCTGCCACACGGCCGCCTAGAGACCTTTCCCCAAGGACTCAAGCTCAGATTTAAAAAGCCGAGTCAGAATCCGGTTGCACTGCTCGAGTGGCTCTTGCCGCGCCGGCAAACATCACCGCTCGGCCTCCTGTGGGGCAGGCAAGCGGACCAGCCAACACGACTGCTCCCTTCCGCACGGCCAGGACTCCCGGCACAATCCATCTGCCACACGGCCGCCTAGAGACCTTTCCCCAAGGACTCAAGCTCAGATTTAAAAAGCCGAGTCAGAATCCGGTTGCACTGCTCGAGTGGCTCTTGCCGCGCCGGCAAACATCACCGCTCGGCCTCCTGTGGGGCAGGCAAGCGGAGGTCCTGAGCTGCATGAAATGATCACGCTTCTGCCCGCAGCTCCCACCTGGGACAGCAGCGCATCTACTGCTCCGCAGAGCGGAGGAGGGACGCCAGCCGAGAGCAGATCTTCCCCCGGGCTCCTCTCTGGGGGCGGCTAAGTCCTTATGGAAAGGGAAACACGCTTCCCCCACCCACGCCTCTCCCCCCTCCAAGCAAATCCATGCCCTCCCTCGGAGTGTCTCTCCTATGTGATCTGCCAGCGAGTACCTCAAGCACAAGTCCAGCGGGAATGCCCAGGGCCTGACTTTAGCACTGAAGGGCCTGTAAAGTACCCAGTTTCCCTGCACGGTTTTATTCCAGATTCGTTCATTTCACATTTTTATCCCTCTCCCCCCGCCCAGTTTTGCCGTGGGAGGCAGAGAACGGATCGCCTGGCGCTGGGGTTTTGTCTTTACCCAAAGTAACCCAAGAACAGGAGGCACTCGGAGACGAGAAGTTACGAGTCGCTGGGGCTGCTCTCTGGAAGACCCATAAAAACAAACAGCAGAGACCCCGCGGAAGAGACATCAAAGCTCTCTCGATAGCTCACCACGTGCGTGACCCAGGAACCAGAAGGGAATGCGAGCCGCTGTGATCCCCCTCCAGTGGGAACGAGCGGCCTAGCACGAAGGGGCAGTGGGCGGGACACCTGTGTGAAGCTATTCAGACCCCGGATTCCACTTGGAGGATGCCTCGGATGACAGACAAGGGTTTGGTTAGCTGGGTGCTGTCTAATTTCATTTGCACTTGCCACAACACCAAGGGCAACACTGCTTTCCAATTATCATCACTCTGGTCTTGCTCCTCGAGCCGGCGGCAGCAACACCGGCACCTTACCTGCAGCTAGGAAGGGGTCTCCCTCCGTGCTCGGCACAGGCACTGCTCCGGGGACTAGTCGCCGAGGGAAGCAACGCCACAAGGACGGAGGCCAGCTGCTGCCCAGAGCCCAAGCCCAGCCTCACACAGGTCCCGTCTTCGGCAGCCTGAGCGTTCGCCTCCTGAATCAAAATCCCACCTGAGGCCAGGACAGTGAGATCTGCTGCGGAGCCCACACTTGTGGCTGCCCTGCCATCCGCTCCGAGACAGGAGCTACCCCAACGGCCAAGCGGGCAGGGCAGCGCTGGGAGAGCTCTGCTGGCACAGACACACTGCAGCGCCCGGCTGCTCTCGAGCGCCACGGGCCACGGCCTAAGACAGCGCCACTGGGGCCCGAGACACACGCGGAGAGGAGTGGGAGGGCCCTGGAGGACGTATTACCTGTATAGCCAATCTTCTCGAAGCTGAGCAGGCTGAAGATGCTGTTGTACGGGCAGGGCAGCGCTGGGAGAGCTCTGCTGGCACAGACACACTGCAGCGCCCGGCTGCTCTCGAGCGCCACGGGCCACGGCCTAAGACAGCGCCACTGGGGCCCGAGACACACGCGGAGAGGAGTGGGAGGGCCCTGGAGGACGTATTACCTGTATAGCCAATCTTCTCGAAGCTGAGCAGGCTGAAGATGCTGTTGTACAGCTGCATTTCCTTTTTATGGGTTTGGTCCATCTCGTCCAGAATCTCCATCAGTTCGTTCCCAGTCTTGGTGGGGTGAGTGCACTCCGCTTCGTGGACTGTCAGCTCGTGGTACGGGCCCTGCCACGGGCACCCGATCCGCTTGTACTTGCACTGGGTCACCCTGTGGCGAAGAGAGCACAGAACGGGAGACGTTGTCCGGTCTGTAGGCAGAGGCTGCGCTGGGACGAGATGCACGAGTGGGAAATGGGCTTCCTGCCTGATCCCAACGCAGCCTCAAAGCAAAACCCAACCACTCCCCGGCTCCCAGAATTCATCTCTGAACCTCCAGTCCTCAGCATCCCAGAGCCGCCAGCCCTGCCAAAGAGGCTTGGGTCCACGGGGCAATGGCATGGTGCCCGCCTACCCGAGCGCACGCAGCTTCCTGCAAGGGGCCTCCCAGCTCATACGGACCCACTCGACCCTGCGGCTACTTTGCTAGATTTCACTTGGCTGCAGGACCAGAGAGAACGCCTCAGCACTTGTATGGCCTCAAGCTGTGCCTTGTACCTGGCCCCTCCGCACTGCCGACAGGCTGCTGTCTAGCCAGCTGGCGACTCTGCCAGAGAGCTCTACGGGGAAAGGAAGTGAGGGGGCGTGCCAGAGGCGAGGACAATGCTGCCTCTGCTGGAGGTTGCTGGGGCGGCTACAGAAAGCAGTCAAGTGCCAATCTCTTTATCTCCGTGCAACCCACGGCCAAGCCAGTCACAGACGCAGCCGGAGCATCACACGCATCGGAAGGGGGAAGCTAAGCCATGCAGCACCGGCCCCGCCCCATGGAGCCAGCCCACATGGTCTCCGGGGAGGGGAGGCCTCAGCGACAGAGCGTCCAGTCGCCCAAAGAGATGCTCTCTACAGCCTCCCTCAGCTCAGCCTGTGGCACGGGTCTCACTCCCCGTCTGTGTTACTTGCTGCCGACAATCCTAGTCTCCCTGGCTCTCCACTTTCGGTCCTCCTTGGGGATCTGGAATGTCTGTCAATTTGGGGTTATCTACACTCAATGAGTTCAGCCCACCGCCTCCTTAAGGGAGATGGTCTACAAGACTGGAGCAGTCGCCATTCTGTGCAGCAAAGGAATCTTCACCCCTTGCCGCGAACCCACAGGAGATGCCTTTTGCTAACGAGTCCACAGCAACTGGGGAGCAAGGGAGAAATCTCAGACCCGCTCCCGGGAGGCCAGGGACGGCTGAGCTCCCTTTCAGCCTGAGTTTCAGAGGCGATGGCTGATCGGGAAAAGGCAATTCTAGCTTTGGAAGGCTCTTTTCCAGCAGACCGCCACCACTGGTCACACCTGGTGCTGCTTTGACACTGGTCACTAGGGGTCACTCCAGTCCCCTTCGATACCATGGGGCCACAGGAATATGGCAGGTGTGCTGGGCCTGCCCACAACAGCGACTGTCACGACTGGTTACGTAAGGGACGCTTGATACCCCGTGTTCGCGAAGCGGGACTCAGTCCTGCAGGGCAGAACAGGGCCCGTCTGAAAACCCAACTGCCTCTCGTAAGGGATGTTCGTGTGTGCCCCTTTACACGATTAACCGGTAAGTTCATCCAAAGAGTTACCCGCACCCCTCCCCTGCTGCCTCTGTGTCGGCGGGGGGAGCAGGAGCTGGTCCCCTGCATGCCAGCTCTGATTCCCACAGAGGCTCCCTGCATCGGCTCCCGCCTGCCCCCTGCACGTGCATCCGCTACAAATCCCGGCAGTTACACGGTTACACAGACACACGGTTTTTAACATCCCTCCCCCCCTCAGCAGCACCTGCCGCCCCCACTGCTCACACCAGTGTTCGGCACCACACGCCCGCCACGCAAGGCGTTTCAGCCCACGCAGTTCTTGGCGTGGCTCAGGCCACTAACACCCACGCCGCGGAGGCGA